AAAAAAAAAAAAAAATATATATAATAAGTAATTAAAATACATAATAATAATAATAACAAGAATAATAATGATAATAGCAATAATAATAATAATAATAAAAATCGTATCGTAAAAAAGAAAGAAAGAAAAAGAAAAAACAACAACAAAGCAAATGAATAATATAACGAAAATACGCGTATAATCGTTCTCCTAGCGACCCATGGAAGCCTGACCTCGAAAGAGGGAAAAGCACGTCAGGGATACGTAACGGGAATGGAAAGGGTGGAACTATTGTTTGTTCCGAAGCCCGATTCATGCAGACCTTACGTGAGGAGGGAGGGTGTAGAGAGAGAGTATCGGTGACTCTCACTCAGGCACAAAGCTCCCTCTCAGTCCCCCCCCGATCCTGTGAGGATACCCGGTGACACCAACGGGGAACTCGCAAAGGAGAGGGGATAGGATGCTTCAGGCCTACCACCCATTAGCAAGTAAACGTGAATCCGACCCGCAAGAACGGGATGATGAGATACGAGTCGGGAGGGTGACAGCAGACTGAGGGCGTAAGCCTTCCAACATGCTCCCCGTAGACCACTCGTGAAGAGGCACCACGGGGGAAAAGACAGATGGGGAACCCTGTCGACTCCAGCCGCACTTAGCCTCTCAATCTCCGCTGTGATCTCGGGATGACGGAAAACTCTTATTTAAGAGCCAGTACCCTCCAAAGGGATCACAGTGTTAAAAATCATAGGATTCACGGAGAACAACGGACTGGGTGGGGTCCGGGAAGTAGCCTGAGGGTGGTGAGGGCCCGGAACCCGAAGACCGTCCGTGGAGGGGGCTAGCAGATATGTTGGTCCAAGGACGGGACGGACAAGCTTGAATTCCCCCTCCGTTCTCAAATTAATTTAAGACAGACATCGGGGAGTCCGATCGCGGATGCTGGCGTAGGAGTGTGTACACCGAATACACATTTAAACCTGAGGCAGCGTTCCGTGGACAAAGGACATCGATGACGAACAGCATACGGGACAGCGGCCAAGGACGCGTGGTCACCAACTGGACCGGGCGAATCTTCGATAAGATGCAAACGGAACAGAGGTAAGAGGTACAAACGCCAGGAGCGCTCATTCGGGCCCGAGGGAAGGGGGGCGATGGCCGTTCCAGGTATTAAACCCTTCGGGGGCCTGGACGTGCCGCCTTGAGTAGATAAAAACGCGTAGGGGCCCGAATGCGATTCCGGACAGCGGGGCGTATACTGGCGAACCGAGTCCCGGAAGCATGAAGAGCATGCCTTTGCGGGACCACGGCCCAACGAGCCCCG